TGTCAGAATTTCCTTCCTTTTTAAGGCTGAATAATATTCCATTACATGGATGTGCCATGTTTTGTTTACCATTTATCCATTGATGGACACTTGGGTTGTTTCCACCTCTTGGCAATCCAGAATAACGCTGCTATCAACATGGGTGTGCAAATATCTCTTTGAGACTGTACTTAGTTTAGGAGCTGTTTGCATACAGCTCTTTCTCTTACAGAATTCAAAGCAGTTATTTTCAAATCAGTCTCCTTGAGTTCTGAGCGAGCACAGTGAATATGCTGGAGACCCTACCCAGCCCTGGCTGATGCTGGATATCTTACCTAACCTGCCCATGGCGGGTTTCTAGGATTACCCCACTTAATTGATGAGGGAACTGAGGCATAGAGAGAAACTCATCCCAGATCACACATTAAGGAACCCGCTGGAGCTCCTCAGCTGAGAGAGATGTGGCTTTCTTCCCTGCTGCAGAACTCCCCCAAAGCAAACCAGTGCCATGGTTTTCCTCCCTGGAGAAGTATTTATCTGTCTGGGAAGGAACATCCTGAAATTTCCCGCCCAATGGGACTCCTTGCTGGGCATGTGGGTAGCAGAAGCAATATCCTCTGCCAAGTAAAGCAGTAAAGTGCTAATCGAACTTCTTCCATGTGTTCAAGGGCTTTCCCAAAGCTTTTTTCCATTTCAAAATGAGTCAGCAGATCCTAAACTCATTTTCCTCACTTGAACACTACGGAAATGTTGAACGTGAATGATCTACTTACTGAGATTGGAATGAGGAACAAAAAGACACTGAATTCTTACTTCAATATGATTATGACTTGTCAGAAAATGAAAAGTTTCTTTGATCGTTAATTATTTTGCAGCAACTACTGCTAAAAGGCAATAAGAATATCCATTCTAATTTTTTAATACCCAAAAACTTCAGAGGTATTTCTCAAGGAGAAAATTCCACAGGATATGGCATTCTAATAGAAAGGGAAAAGGGAAAAAAAATTCCCTACGTTACCTTTTAGGGAAAACATTTTATTTGTGGTAAACATAAAACAGTGATGAAATATGACATTCTCATGCAACACAGTCTCAGGATTTTCACTTATAAAATAACATTCTTAGAGTAGTTTATCGATGGAACTTGGTACAAAAAGGAACACGGGTAGCCCATCAACAAATCAAGCTAATTTTGCATTTGATTTTCTGAGGAGAAAAAAATTAACCAAATCTACTTCATTATAATTAGTGAATCACATTTTTAATACAAACTCCAATTTTTTAAAAGCCTAGAAAGATCAAATAAGAGATTCATCAAATGTTGGATTCTGAGCAATGTCCTGAGAATGTGCATTTTTATTTTCTGCCCAACTCTGAGTTCTATTTGTCCAGTTATGGGAACTGGCACCCCTGAAGAATTTTTCATTCATTCAATAAATATTTCTTAAGAACCCACTCTACCAGGCAGTGGGGATACACCCCTACACAAGAGAGATATGGTCCATGCCCTCAAGGAGCTCACAGTTAGCAGATGAGACAAATATGAAGTCCCCACAGGATGTCAGACTGTACCAGTATTCTTGTGAAACAAGTTAAGGCATTAAACAACTGGTCCCAGCATTCCTAACAAAATGCAAGACTGGGACAAATATTTAGTTAACTGCAAGATAACTAACCAAGACACAGTTCTATTTCATTTTTTTCTATTTGTGCTTTAGCTGAAATACCTGATGGCAAATACAATAACCCACATCAGGCCTAGCTGGTTTGGCTCAGTGGACTGAAGGGTCCCAGGTTAGATTCCAGTCAAGGGCACATGCCCGGGTTACAGGCTCGATCCCCAGTAGGGGGCATGCAGGAGGCAGCTGATCAATGATTTTCTCTCATCATTGATGTTTCTCTCTCTCCCTTCCTCTCTAAAATCAATAAAAATATATTTAAAATAAATAGGAGTCTTAAAAAAAAAACCCATAACAGGATTATTATTCTTGTTCTATCACTTACTTGAATGGAACTGTATATATCTTTTTAAAATCAAAATCCTAAATTTTGATGTTTGCACCCTGACCATTATTTTTGTCATATCTATCTGGGTTATTCTATCAAATTAATTAGATATTCAAAAGTGTTGCTTCATGATAGACACCATTTGTGTTGCTTCCCATAAACTTGAATTAATTAAGACTTTAAAACTTGCAGATTTTTATTTTTACACATTTTTAATTCAGTTTTACAAAATGTAATAATACCTAACCAGTATTGAATGCCTACTATGAGCTAAGCGGGTTTTTTTCTTTAAAAAAAATACTTCAAAAAATGTTTTTATTGATTTTTAGAGAGAGAGGACGGGAGAGGAATAGAGAGAGGGAAACATCAATGAGAGAGAGACATCGATTGGCTGTCTCCTGTCCGCCCCCTACTGGGGATTGAGCCTGAAACCCAGGCTTGTGCCCAGACCAGGAATCAAACCAGGAACCTCTTGGCTCATGGGTCTATGCTCAACCACTGAGTCACACCAGCAGGGCTAAGTGGGGTTTCTCACATAATTACTTGTAAACCCAAAATCTTCCCCCTACAACCCTGTCAGTACTATTAGGCCTATTTTACAGATGGGGAAACTGAGGTGCTGAGAAACTAAGAGTTTCCCAGCACCACACTGCTAGTTAGTGTAAAGCCAGGAATGACTGATTATCTGATTGGTTAATTTAGTCTCTTAAGTATCCTAAATTGAGCACAGCGTTCTCACCTCCAGGGCTACATGCAGTAGAATTGCTCTTTGGGCATTAGAATGCTGTTATAATAATGCAGTTAAAGCTTTCAAACAACCAGAGTCCAATAAAACACCTAGGGTGCAATAAAACATCTGATTAACTAGTGAAATGAGATGTGAAATAACTTCTCAGGGAAATGACAAGTAAATGGAGGGTGTGTGACTATGAAGTTTGCTAAGATGAATAAACCAGAACAAGCAGTGAGACCAGGAACCTCCAAGCCTGGCTGTGTGAAACGCTCCGAAAAAAAGGGGGAAATCTCTCACACTAAGTGGGGTTGGCCTGGAAACTCATAAAGAAATGCTGGGTGGAGGGAGCTGATGCTTTTGTTTTGCTTTGTTTCCTTCCATCTTCAGTGGAGCTGGTGCTGCAGGAGTCCCACCCACTCTCTGCACCTTCCCACCTGCTCACCGAGGGACAGTCCACATTTTGAGAGTAGAAGCCAGCATACAGGACCTGATAAAGCCCAATCACAACCACCATCACTTTGCAAAAACCATCAGATAGCCCGAGAAAGCATGGAGAGCTTTACCAGTGAATAGCAATGTAAACCCGAAAGTCTAAAATGAAATGCACAGGGACCAAATTGCTCTGCACCAACTTCCTAAAAGCTCTTCTCTGCTGTTGGGATATCCGAGCCAACAACCCCAGCTGACAGCACCCAGGAAGCTTCCACAGGCAAATTACAGATTGTAAGGGACGCTGAGAGCCACCCCGAGGCTAAGTTTTGTAAGGTCTGCAGTGCTTTTAGAAGCTGTCTTTCCCCCTCGTGTCCAGCGGCTCCACTACACACAAAATTTGCTAAAACTGTTCGCTGGGCACTAGTTCGGTTGGGGACAGCATGCCCGCCATGCAATGCCCTACCGGTTTCTTAACACGCATATGATTAATATTGGTACTCTGGAAAGAGAACTTCTTCTGACCTTGAGCGTGCGCGCTAAATAAATTACCTCAGAACGAAAGTGGTGAGATCTCATAACAGCATCTGGGGAGAAAAGAGAAAAATGAGACTTCATTGAACTCCCTGTTCTTCACCTGCCGAATAACTGATGACTTACCTGGGGGGTTGGGGGGCGGGGGCGAGGGGTCGGGAAGGCACATTCCCGACGCCTCGAATTCAGTGGGGGCATCCTGTAGGGCGGGGAGGTTACTAGGCCACCAGTCTCTAGCTGATTTCAACATGAGAAGTTTCAGGGAAAGTTCTGGGGGAGTTGGGGAGCCCGAAACTCTCCATGAAGAAAGCGATGGATGGGTGAAGGGAGGCTGCCGCAGCACCAGACTTGGCTCCGGATACCCTCGGGGGCTTTAGCAAACTGACACTTAGAATCTGCGTCCATGCCTCTCCTCCCAGCACTCGGCATCGCTGTGCTTTGCCCAGCCCAGGAGATTGGAGGAAGGGGGCGAGGGCAACACGGGCGAGGGACGTTAAATCCATAGGCGTCCTCAGCCTGGGGAGTGGGCAATGATGGAGCGAAGGGCAGTGGCGCAAAAGCGAGCGAGCCGCGCGTCACTCTCCAAATGGGCTGAAGAAACGCGGCGTGTCTTACCTCTGCTCCTGGAACGACCCGAAAAGACCGATTTCATCGGATGCCTCCCTTTCTGGAGCTTCGGTGCCAGCAGCAGAAGAAGACGATGGTGGCGATGGTGCCTAGCAGAAGCAACAAGAGGAAGAGGGCGCATTGGATGCTGTAGGGTCTCAGCAAGACCAGGAAACCGCGGCGATCATGCAGCGGGCAAGGTAGGGGCGCTGGGCGCGGGGCTGGA